CAGAATACTGCCCTTGTCACAGTAGCGCAGACCACTTTGAGCTTCGACAAGTACTTGGCCGAGACTCATGGAAAGGACGATGGAGAACTAGCAGCGGATGCCAAAAGTCGAGGGCACATGAAGGCTCCAGTCTCTGGGCTTGAGAAGCAATCAGCGTTTGGCCATCAGTACTCCCAAGCAAACGGGGTTGGGTACAACTCACATGGTCCCATGGGCCACACTCACAATTCAGCTCCGGATTTCGGTTACCAACCAGACTCCCGCCCGCCGCAACATCAAGCACCACAGCAGTGGCAAGGTCATGACTATATCCAGAACCACGACGGCCCAGTGATGGCTCCCAACTATACTCAGCAGTATGGCCGCCCGCCTCCAGGTTCGGACTATCCCTTTCCGACAGTGTCATCCGAACCTACAGTTCCGAGCTGGAGGAAGCAGCCACAGGAGGGACCGCCTCCGGTCACAGATGAAGCCTCAGTCCCCAGCTGGAGGAAACAGCAGCCTCCAGCACAGTCATTGCCACCCCGCGGACGAGACACTCCTCCACCTGGTATTGTTCGGCAGGGTTCATATCTCGGACACGGTGGGCCCCCACCTGCGGGTCCCGGTGCGGGTTATGGAGGGTACGACGGTGGCGGGTATCAGCAGTATCGATGATATCTCAATTCGGGCATGCGGGTAACTCTTAGGTGGACGGGTATCGCGGGGGTTCCTTTGTTCGAGAGAGGATCGTGGAGAAAGGGTTGATCGGAGGAATCAAGAACACGAGATGGACTGTCATTTGCCTGTATTGTACATGATGTTAGCAGAGTGAACCAATTGAGGTTTCACAGCATATGGCTCTGTCTCTCTTCTTTACCTACAGCTGTGTTACCGATGAGAAGACATGCGAAAAGAAGCAACCATGAGGTCGAGGTAGCGATGGCCACGATAGCTCGCGCGCGTCTTGTAGTAGCGAATACATCTGGTGGCGGTCGGGGTATATGCGAATCGTCAAATTCAGTGATTGGATTGCCGCATGATTGAGACTTGTGCTAGGCTCTACGGTAGAGTGGTGGTGGTTGTTGGACGTTTGGAGTTGGGTTTTGTCGTGGATTGTCAAGACCCGAGGACTCGTTGTTTGCTGAAGAGGGGAGAGCGATGACGTACTTACAGCTGGTGGGTGGCACGATACCGACATAACTCGCGATTCGGATACTGGTACACTACCACAGTCCGCAGCGGCCCAGCTCGCCGGGCAACCGCCATGGACAAACATCGTTAGTAAACATCGTGTGCAAACAACCTACCTTAACACACGCTGGAAACAGCGCCTTCGAAGAGGAAACTAGGAAATCAAATTCCGCTAGTACATGTCTAGAGAAACAAAGGCTTTTCATCATACTGTACCCAAGAAAAAAAACCCCCCAAAAAAATCGCACATCATACACCTAGATCACTCCTCCCCTTCCACCTCGGTCATCTTCAACGCATCCCCCACATCACTAACAAAATGCCCCTCTCCTCCGACCAACTCCACAATCCCGCTCCTTTCCATCATCTTCCACACCTCACTGTCCTTACTATCCCTGCCTCCGGGAACCCGACTAAAGAACACCCTTACGCCTCGTTCTCTATAGCCCCTGACAATCTCCTCCAGCACCTGCGTGCCGCTCCCATCCATGCTTGTCACACCATGGACATCAAAGATAATGTTCTTATTACTGTCTTCCTGCCTCAGTCTCGGCAAAGCGGGGTGGGCCTCGTTGGTTCCGTAGCGTTCCAGTCTTCTCAGTCGGGACTTGAGTTCGCCGGTGTTGGCAAACGTCAATGGTTCGGGGATCTTTACGATCAGACAGCCATCGATGAACTCCAAGCGGTCTGGCGAGTCAGAGAAGAATTCTGCGTTTTCGAACCGGTTGGTGCCCGGGATGCGACCCAAGATCTGGATGCGTGGCCGGGTAGCGTTGCGGATGACTTGTAGGAGGGAGAGACCGACGCCGATGGCCATGCCGAGGGTCAAGGAAAAGAAGATGGTGGAGAGGAGAATGATGGACATTAGTGCCAGTTCGGGCCAGGCGCGCAGGCGTAGGAAGAATGTAATGTCGTGAGGGCATTCTTCGATAAGGGACCAGGCTACGACGCTGATGAGGGACGAGAGGACGGGTTTCTGTCATATATGAGTAAGAAGTCAAGTGAAGCGAGGGGCAGCCTGAAAGAAGACTTACAGGAAGATAGTAGAGATAGGGAAGGAGGAACAAGATGGTGAACAAAGTCAAGAGACTGAGGATAATGGAGCTCATAGGCGTCTTTCCACCAGTAGCCTTGTTGACCTTGCTTCTCCCGTACCCTCCAAAGGCAGGTAAGCTCATGAAGCACGCTCCCACAAAGTTCGCCGCGCCCAAAGCCACCAGTTCCCTGTTCGCGCTCAGCTGAACGCCAGCAAACGGCTCGCTGCTCGAGATACTCTTGGCCGCGACCGAACTCTCAAAGAAACCCAGCAGGGCAATCAGGAACGACGTGCCCATCGAGTCCCTCATGAGCTGCATATTGCTAGGCTGGAACGGCCACCGGAACTTGAACGTTTGGTGGCTTGCCGCCTCCACGGTCCCCAACACCGCAACGCCCTTCTTATCCCACTCGAACCAGTAAGCCAAAAACGACGCCAACACCACAACCAAGAATCGATCTGGCACGTACGCAACGCCCGGGTACCTTGGTTGCATCCTTCTCTTGATCTCCCTGCAAACCATGATAACCAGGAAGCTCGTGCCGGCCACAATCGCCGTCAGCGTGTGCACCTTGTCCAAGTTTCCAAAGATGAACCTCAGCTTCTCTACCGAGCTCCCGTGGCCGACACCGGGGTGCTTCGCAACGACATGATTCAGTCCAAGTTCCGGAATGAGCTGATCAACGGCAATGACGACACCGATGGCGGAGATGAATCCCCGCAAAAACGGCCTGGACAAAACACTATCCAAAAAGCCCAGCCTCGCCACTCCAGCCGCGAAGACCATGGCGCCAGCCATACCAGCAACAATTCCACAGATCTTGGCATGGAGCACGCCGTCTTCGTCCCCTCCCCTTCCCAGATCGACACTAGCTTTCACCGCTGTGCCCACCAACAGACTACCAGCTGCTTCGGGACCGACAATCATAGCCGGGCAGGACCCCAACAACGCGTAGACGAGCGGGTTCCAGACGAAGGAGTATAGGCCGTTGATGGCCGGGACGTGGGCGAGATTATCGGCGAGAGAGAGCGCCATGGGGACGTACATGCCTGCTACTGTCAGAGCGGCAATGAAGTCGCCTTTGAAGTAAGACCAGCTGTACTCCCGAGCCCAGACCAAAACGGGCAGGTAGTAAGAGAGGTACATGCCGGGGGTGTCCTTAACACCATGACGGCGGGCAAGATCTCTCGACGTGTTTATCTTCTGGGTGGTGATGCGGGACGAGAGGTGGCGTTTCCAGCTCTTTCGCTTCTTGGGTTTTCCTGATGCTGGCCCTTCACCGTTGGCTGGCGAGGCTGGCTCGGAGTCGTAGGCGGAGAAGTCGAGGTCGGTGTCGGTTGGTGTGTCAAAGGCGAAGCCGGGAAGCGAGTCGGCGTCACTGGCGTTGCTGGGGCTCATGGTTCCCCGGGCTGCGGTAAAGGTGCCGTGGCCGTGCTCACGGGAGAGAAGGCCGGTTCTCTCGTTCGGAGCAGCGCCGAAGCGGACTGTCCTGTCACCACCACCACTTGGCCCAGCGCCGTTGTCCTCATCGCCACCGCCGCCGCGCTCAAAGTCCGAGATCGAGCTGTACGATGACGAGACAGTGTAGCTCTGTCGGAGACCGCTGGGTTGGGCTGGGGCATGTTCGTGGGCGGCTCCCGCTGGTGGTGGAACATTAGGCGGATTCGAGTTTAACGGCCCGGCGTCGAGGCGCGAGGAGGAAGATCGGGAGGGCATGGTCGCGGCCCTGTATCGGATCGGATCGAATCGAATCGAATCGAATCAGAGCACGCGTGTGCTGTCGTCGTGATGTTTAAGCTTTAGCAGCTTGTAGAACTCGGTCGCTATGGTGAACACATCGGTCGGTCGGTCTGATGTGTGTCGTTGCTATTCGATTGTCCGATGTCGTCTCGAGTCGTGTCTAGATGTTGTTTGGGGCGATGAAGGGAGATCTCGGTGAACCTTCGGTTTGCCAATAAATATACAAGCCCAACACAGCTGACGTGCTCAAAGCCTGATCCCAACAAGGTTAGCCCGGAGACAGCGGAATTCTTTTCCAAGTTGGAGATGGTGGCTTTACCTAAAAGTTACAAATTGTTTGTTTGGGGATGGCTTGGCTGCGGTGCGATGCGGTGCGATGCGGGTGGCCATTGGTGCGGGGGACGTCACAGGCCCCTCCAAGACCCCCCTGTAACTTGGACGATCTAAGGGTCTGGACCACCTGACCAACTCCGGGGCCTGTTTTTGACAGGTAAAGTTTGACCGTTTCAAGGAGTGCTAAGAAATCAGAGTCCGTGATACTATATGGTAGAATGCGTCACCAAGTTGTCTTGATCTACGATCTAAACGTCGTACCTATCTGCGTGGAAGACACGGCTGAGTGGTGACTTGACAACTGACACTGACATCGTATAATATCCGGGCAATTGTCAGGGACCCCCGGGGTGTCAATCGACATCGGCCCCACAAGGCTGCGGTGCCCGGGCCCGCCGACGGGAGTGGGGGGACTGCGGACGGAAGGAGACTTCAGGTTTCCATCTGATTCCTACGTACTCTGGCTCCAGACAACGGCTTTCTCAATATTATGGCTTTGTTATTGGATAGCAGACGCCTCAAATGGGTTTTGGTTGAACTCGATGTTTTTAAACTACGAAATCAATACATCTTGACTTTGACTTCCGTCGACCAAAGCCACCTGGCATTGAACGTCAAGCCTCTCTGCTCTCATCTGATCCGAGATCCTCCTGACTTCGCTCCCCGTTCAGTCTCCATATTTCTTTATAACGCCCCCTCCCCTTCCAGCTTCCTCACAACTCTGACAAACTCATCAACTGCCATGAATTAGCATCGTCTCTTCCAACATCAAGTACCATAAAATCTAAGCATCGTTTTGGAGATGAACACAACAAAAAGAAAGGAGCCTACAATCCATCTCCCTCCCCGTATCCACCCCACAATCATTACAGGCCCTTTGAAGCTGCTCAGCATCTAGCGTCCGCCCACTCAGTGTCTGAACAGCCGTTACGGCCTCGCGGACGGAAAGGGTGTTATCGCCGTCGCGATCACCTGATTGGAAGGCGGTGCAGAGGTCGTCTTGGGATGCCTAGGTAGTTGTTAGTCAGTAGAGGTAGATGACTTGAACTGGGGGTTTGCCATTTGGCATCTCACCATTGTATTGGAAGAACTGGATGGATGGCTTGGACCGGTCAGTAGGTGAGAAGGACAATGGTGCTCGAAATTCTGAAGCAAAGAGGAAGACCACGGTTCGAGGGGCGAGAGGCAGCGAGGACTTATACCAGTACCAAAAAAGGAGGGGTTTGTCGTTCAACCCAGATTCCAAACCTTCGGGCATCATGGTATAAATGTCGCATACAGCTGAGGGACACTCACAACATCATTGGGCCACTCCATCCCAACCATGACTTGTGGCTGGCTGCTCGCAGAATCGGACGCAGCATTGGACGAATCCAGACAAGGGAACCAAGAAAACCAAACCTGAGAAATGGTAACCAAGAAGTTGACTACTAATCTATCTTCGCTAAAGCTGCCTCAAAACACCAACAGCCATATGCTTGATACAGAATTGGGTGGTCTCGACAACCGCGCTATATGCTCTCTGCTATGCAATATGATGCAGTGTGGCTTGCTAGACCAACCAGTCAGCCCACAACTCCAAGCTAACGATATGTTGCAAAAGTGTGTGCCGAAGAAAGGTGGAGAATAAGCAAGCAATCAGCGCCCTTCCCAAAAGCGCAAGTACCTGTTGAAAGAAGACTGGGGACACATCCAGGTCCCAGGTTGAAATTGGTTGAAAAACACCACCCTCCCTCAAAAGTGCAGCCAGAACCACAAAGGGCCCAGCTTGCTTTTTTTTACCCCAATGTTATTACACGCCTCAAGGCCGTCTTAGTGGCCGGCAGTCAAGGACTTTTCCACAATGTTAACAATCTAGAAAAAAAAGTGTCAGTCAATGATCGATTCTGAACTAGCACGCGAAATGAGGTAAGCACTCACCGAAGGATCGATAGCGTTGTGGTTAACGAGATACTTGGCGATGAACAGCAACAGCTTCTTATGGTCGTCGATGGTCAACCGAGTCGCAACAATCTCCAACACCTCGTCGAAATCGACCTTGGACTGCGCAATGAACGTATGGTAGTAGATGTAGGCGAAGAAGCCCATGATGAATTGGCAGTCCATGCGATCGGTAATACCTCCATGGCCCGGGATCGAGTGGCCAAAGTCCTTGATCTTGAACGTGCGCTTGAGACCCGAAGCAAAGAAGCCACCGAACGGCGCAATGAGCGAAGCGAACGTGGCCCAGAAGAAGGTGTGGATCTGCATGGGCGCCATGGTGATGCTGAAGTGCGTGTTGGGTGGGAAGAACAGCAGCTCGGGCGTGGTCCAGGTCTTGGGGATGAACACCGGGTTGGGCTCGCAGTCCAGACCGGTAAAGATGTTGGCGCCAAGGTCGTTGGCGGGGCAGATGAAGAAGCGGGAGCGCATCAGGATATGAGTGAGGAAGATGCCGAAGAGAACGGTCATGACCCAGGCGCCCAGGAAACCCTCGACCGTCTTCTTGGGAGACAGCTTGATCAGCTGGGTGCGGCCAAAGGTGATGCCGCAGATATAGGCGAAGATGTCGTTGGTGATGACGAGGGCCGCGGGGAGGAAGAACCAGATTAGGCCGTCGAAGACGTTGTTCATAATAAAGTGCGACTGGCCGACAATCAGGAACAGGGCCATGTGCGCCCAGACGAACTGGGTGAACTGGAACTTGAGGTGGCCGCCCTTGAGAGTGCTGACGAAGAAGACGAAGCCTGGAGCGAGTTCGTTTGTTAGCTTGACCTTTGCTCTGGCGGAAGAAGAAGGAGCTGCACATACCAACAACATAAAGGGTGAAGCAGATGAAGCGATGGTGGGTAGCCAGCGGAAGGAGGACCCTATCGACCATGACAATGTGCTTGAAGTAGTAGATGACGCTTTCGCCGTGGAGGAAGTACATGGCTATCGCCAACCAGTACCAGTTCAAGCTCTTGGTGGACTGGATGTCCCGGGCGCGACTAGCTCCGCTAGAGATGGCGATGACTTCCTTGAACGAGATGATCTGGACGGCGGTGATGATGACGACGATGTAGATGTGGCCCATGAAGAGGGCGGCGAAGAAGCCGCCAATCATGATCAAGGTCCATAGGGTGCGCTCGATGAAGTTGGCCTTTTTCTTTTCGTAGTCGGAGAGCTGCTGCTGCTGTTGCTGCTGCTGCTGCTGCTGCTGGTCGTTGCCGGCGCCGTTGGGTTTCTAGAAGACAAGATGTCAGCCAAGACTGCACGAGGTGCGTATGGCATAGCAGAGAAGGAGATGGCCATATTGGCACCGCACAGCATAGCATACATAACGTACTTCTTGGATATTCGCAAGAGCCCTGGTCTTGGAGGGGGAGTTCTCTTCGCTGGCCTCGCTCATGCTACTGCGACGGCCATTGTGGGGGAATTTGACCCCGCGACGAGACCGGCCTGTCATGGCTTCGGTCGTGTGTATTATGCGATCAGGCGAGTGGTAGTTGTCGCGATGCGTATGCTGTGCGCAGGTGGTTGGTTGCGCTCGAGTCGAAGGAATCGTGGAGGTGGTGGTGGTGGCAGACGGGAGGACAGATGGTGTTTGGGGGGACGAACGGTGTCAGCAGCAAAGAGAGGACGTCGATGGAGTCCTTGGATGGGGCCGAGCAGTGGACTGGATAGTGGATGGATCCCTTTTGTGGTGGATGATTGATGGATGTCGGCGGGTTTGCTTCAGAGTCCACCTTGGCGTTGATGACCTGCTCGAGTCGTGTTAACTGAGAGTATCCCGAGAATCGGTTCCTTTGTAGCAAGATTGGTGATGATGATGCCTTGCAGATGTTCAAAATGTTAGAGGTATGCGGTCTTCCCTGATCGTCGGTTCCAACTTTTTTTGGTCCCCAAATTTGCTTGGAGCCGGGCAGCTGATTACGATTGTTGGGACGGGACGACGGGACCGTGAACCACCACTGAGAAAGCGCGGAGGAGCCATGGCCCAAGCATCCAGCACTAACACCCGCTAGCAGAGAGAGCTAGCAATGATGCCTGCCGGGGGAAGACGGGCTACGTCAATGTGGCTGGGCTCGGCTGATTTGTGCATTATTATTGGCCAGACAGAGGAGAGGAAGTGGCTAGTGGCTGAGCCTTGTCAGACTGGACTCAGTTCATGTCGCCGTCTTGCAACATCCAGATGACCAGTGAGGTAGTTCGAAAAGTCATGACATGGATTTCTTCCAATATTATACTCATTGATGTCACCTCATTGGGAGTATTCATATTGTTCTTGAAGCTCCTTATGTCCGACTGCCCGTCCACCTAAAAGAACTCTTACCCGTGACAGGCTGAATGCCCTCTGTGGCTTGACTCTTCCATTCTGAGAGCCATCAAAATCACATGCGATGGAAGCAGGCAACTTGACACTTCGGTCTCGCAGACAGCCATCGTCCAATCATTCTACTCAAAGAACCCGCTACCCCGCAAGGCAGGATGTTGAAAGGGTACGTACCTGTCAAAGGCCAGCGAAACCGCGACATCCTTGGACCATCAAGACTTCCATTCGACCATTTTTCTCAATATTTTTTATGAACCCTGGTCCCAATGGAACTGCAGCTTTTTTTTTTGTCTATTTCTGTTGGGGATCTTGTTTATCACGGTCTCGGTGGCTTTGTGTTGACAGCAATACGCGGAACTGAACGGCGGAAGACGAGATCTTCGTGTATTACGCCTACCCCTAACCCTGGATTTGCCCTTTTTTTCACTCTCTCACAACGTGGAACGCCTGCCCGTTGCCTGCCGGTTGCCATGGCACCATTCCCAAACAGACCGAATGACAACATTGGACCCTTCCCCATGTCCAATTTTCCTTCCTTCTCGATTCTAGTCCGCGACATTGCCCAACGGGGGCTGATGGCCATGATCGCCAGGCACATGATCGCCCACCATGATGGACCTAGACAATTATTCCGACGAAGACCTCGATGATATTCTTGACGGCGAGACCATCAACCAGCTCGAAACCCACGCCATCCTCTTCACCCAGAAACAGGCCCAGTCGACCCAACATGAACCTCAACGGCCACCACCACAGTCGGCATTCCAACTACCGGCAGGCACCGCCGAGCAACCGCATTACATATCTGACGACGATGATGACGACGGCGAAGTCATAGATCAAGCCGCTCAGCCCCTTCGCGCCGTGCCCAGCATCGCTGGCCAACAAAGGTTGAACCATCAAAAACAACAACAACAGCAACAGCAGGCCAACCAGCAGCGATATGGCCAGCAACCGGCTTTCCGACCCCCGAATCCCCAGTTCACCCCGTCTCAACATCCACGAGGACCATTGGGAGCCCCTGGTGGGCGCGCCCTCCCCCCGTCCCAATTCGTCCGTCCACAACAACCACCACAGCCGCGACCGGCTCCAATCACCCGGCCCTATGTCGGCCAACAGCCACCAACCACCCAAGGCCTCCGTGGCGCCAGTCTGGACGCAGAAAAGGAAAAGGAGGAACAAATCCGCGCCCTCGAAGCCGAGCTCTCCAACTTGCGCACCCAATTGACAACCGCCAAAGGCGAAGCCAATCTCATACGCTCCAAATATGACCGCGACGTACCGCAGCTCAGGCAGAAGATGGCCGAAGAGAAGGCAAGGATGGCCGAGGAGAAGGCAAAGATGGAGAGAAAGCTCCAGGAGGCCCACAAGGTGCAGCAGGTCGTTAGTAACGAGCTGAAGTTTGCCAACGCAGACCTACAAGAGCGGGGGAGACCAAGGACCAAGAAGGCGGTTGGCAAGGATGGAGGCGCAATGACGCCTGGTGGCAGGAACAAAACAAAGTTCATGCACATGCTGGATGGGTTCAGTGATGTGGAGGTGCTAGGGGTGGGAAGTCCTAGTAGAGATAGGGCAGGGAGGAGGGAGCAGAAGAACGGCGGTACACCAACAAAAGGAAAGAGAAAGAGGCCTGCGGTGGATAGTCCGTCTTTTGCGCTGGAGATGGAGACCGATGATGGTTCTTTCGAAACGGGCGCTGGCTTGTTTGCTTTGAGATCTAGCAGTACAAGATCCGGTGGGCCGAGTTTGCCCTATGATGTAAGTCAACATTTCCCACTTACTCGCTGGTTTGTTGAAGCGACACCACTGACACTCCATGCAACAGTTCCTCAAACTAGTCCTTGACCATTCTCCCCTCCCGTCCCTTCCCCTGACCTTCGAAGCTTTTGCGCGATTCTGCTTCCCATCAAAACCGTCCGCTTCCTTCGCCTCCATCATCTTCCGACGTCTTCCCCAACTGGGCGTCTCCAACCTCATCAACAGCTCCGACAATGACCCCTTCCGTCTCCTCGTCGACTTCTCCGAGCTCCTTCTCGACTTGTGGCAACAATGCCTATCCGAGCGCTATCATTTGCCCATCTACTACCTCGCCGCCCTGTTACACTTTATCCTGCAGCTGAACGCTGTGGACGTTGCGCCGCGGATCACCAGCAGTTTGGTTCCTGTGGTTGTGACCACCTGCCAGCTTGTGGCGTTGCCGAGGCTAAGTTTGAAGATGGTAAACGAACGAGGTGGGACTGTGGAGGACTTGGAGCAACATGCCAACCCGGCCATGAGGAAGCTGGCAGCAGACATTGATGTTACCCAGTGTCTCAAGTTGCTGTATCTATGCGCGGTGGGCTGTTTAAAGCCACCGAGTGTTGATCAACACAGCATGCCATCACCTCAGGCGCAGTTCTGGAAGACCATGGACTTGGAGTTTGTTGTTCTGATGCTAAGCGCAAAGCAGCCGGAACAAGATTGGAGGGGCATGTTGCGTCTTTTGAGGACAAGTGTCATGCCAGCAAGTGTTGGACCGTTGCCCAAGTCTGACTCTAGCGTTGACAGCAATACGACGTTGGCGGTTCGAAGTCGGCCACAGGTCCAATCTCCGGGCAGCGGCAGCGGTAGTCATCGGGGCGGGAATCGTGCCGGTCAAATGCTTCCACCCCCACTGCCTCACATCCGCAACAATAACATTGTCGACAACCCCAAGTCAGACTCTGCATCAACAGCCCAAGTCATCATCGACTGCGTCTCCTCCTACTTGGTCGATACTCCACCGCGATGGGCTTCCTCTGGATCCGCGCGCGAGGTATCCATCAAACTTGCAGCCATGGAGACGCTCATGTCCTTCGCTTCCAGCTCATTCGGCTTATTGCAACTCGCTAAAAGCGACGTGGCAATTCCGAAAATTGTATCTGCCTTGTGTTGGGCGATCGACGGTCTCTACGATTCCAACATTCCGTCCGAGTCCTTCGGGAAACTCTCCATCACTGGCGCTGATGATAACATCAAGAAAGGGGGATCGTTCTTGTCTTTAGCTCAGGCTCAGGGGCAGGCCAACAATCGGAAGAACAAGGGGCACGGTTATGATGACAGCGGAATGTCGACACCGCAGTTATTGTCACAACTAATTTCTAGGTCAACGAAGCTGGTACACGCACTAGTCACGCATCCTAGAACTTCTGGCATCGTCAACCCTATCGCCCGCAGGCTCGCAACACCAAGACCAACGACAACACTGACACCACCACCCGCGGGCGGCGGTCCACCGACATCTACACGCCCGGGACCCGGCCGCGGCCGCAACCACAACGGCCCCCGCGCAGGTGCAGGTGTTCCCATCCGACCCACAGCTCTCCACGCCCTACACAGCCGCGCCAACGCGTCCTTCGATAATTCCCACCATCCCCGGCATAACCTCAACAAGAACAATAACAACCTCACCTCAAACGTCCCAAGCAATCCCCACGCCTCGAGGGTTAGCAACATGACCACCGCCCTTCCCCATCGCTACTTGGTGTCTCTCGGCAGGCTCAACTTTGCCGAAGAAGATCTAATATTTGAGCAAAATATCGATGAGGAGACTGTCGAACTGGCGCATGAGTTGTTGGAGTTGGCGGTAGAGAGGGGGGAGGGTGGGAGTGTTAAGGGGGTTTTTGTGGAGGGCCAACATGAGGTTGATGGGATATGAGGTAGTTGGTTACAATCAGTGGATGCAGGCTTGGAGTTAGGAGAAAGAGAAGGACTGGAGGTAACTGTTTTTTTTGGCTTTATGATACCCATACATAGATCTTTTGGAGTCTACCCACGCTACAGATATGTGAGACGTAACCTGAATTGACATCAGGCTGGAGATAAACGCTTTAGTTACCCTCTTTCTCGGGTGAATTCTACATTTGACACGAACAATGTGTGAACAGGGCCCAAGCTAACATCGAGAGACCGAGCCATATCTTGACCTTGGCCTATGGTCATGCAATCAAGAAGCTAAGGTAGGAGAAATGTCCGATACGCGGAGCAAATATTGCTTCGCGAAGGAAATCGCAGGCGAGGCACCTAGGTAGCAAGTAACAATGTACCTCTTATTTACCTCTAAGCAAGTACTTCCAAGGAAGATATTTCAAGCTTCCCCATCGTACTTGACTTCAATCACATCTGCGGGAAGGATCTCTTGACGTGCTCTCGCCTCTGGGGGGCACAAACCTACCTAGGTTTTCTGTCATTGCCAACTGAACTTTCATTTCAGTGATCGAGTGCTCCTTTTGATCCCACCGACGCTCTTACCTTTACGTTCGTACTTCGTGTTGAAACTTGTGGGAGCGCTCCAGACACTCAGTTGCTCTTGCCTCTGTAACAGAACAGCTTCCCGTCAGCAGCTTCCTATGGTCATTAACACAATCCGCCAAACCCGGACATTTCCATTTCCAGCAAAAATCAACATTACCTTACCATTAAAGTCTGTCATGAAGTTTCCATCCGAGCAAACGACACCCAACTATTTCCAACAACACAATTTACACCACACTCCATTAAACATCATGGATAGTTCTTCTCCGTCCGCTGGCTTCGTGTCTTTTGACGACACAGTCCTCTGCGCCTGGTACACTCAGTACGGACATATGCGCATTCGCACCTCTCTTATCGTAGCAGAGGTCAAAGAGCTTCAGCGGCTGTCCAACGAGCACGCCCCCAACCGTCGAATGCCGACTCACCCCTTGCACCTCATGGCTCTGATCCAACAAGACCACCCTCTGATCTATAACCCGCTCTGGACTCGGACCTTCTTCCCCTTGCTTTGCCCTTCCAGCCTCGCTCCCAACTATCTCGGCCGACATCTCTGCTACTTTCAAAATTTGCAGCGCAACAATCCAAACCATGCACAACTCAGGCCCGACAACGACCTGTTTTCCAAGAAGCTGGCCTTTTGTCTGGGGTACAGTCTGCAAGCGTTTTGGATCAATGGCCAAACGCCCGTTTCCTGCTTGTGTTGGGGGCGCACCACCACCGCCGGCACCACCACAAAGGGCCGCCACCGGCAAACAGCAGCATCATCCGAATCCGAATCCGAATCCAAAGAACCACTTCTGCTGGCAGAGACAGAATCTAGAGTTCCTGGCCAAGTACTTTGGGATGCTTTGCCTGCAACTGTGGACAATCCGGTCATGCGTCAAAGACCGTCATGACCACCATGCAGGAGTGTGGCAGGCGTATGAGTGTGTGCAGTCTCACATTCGATCCATTACATCTTCTACTACACCAGCACCATCATCATCATCCTCGTCGGCAACGGCACCGGCACCGGCGGCGCCAAAGTTATGCCAATGCGTGCCAATGACTTCAAGCATGTACTCTGCGTGGCGCGCCAGCAAGTCCTACGGAAGGGGGATTACTCACATGGGGATATTTGCAAATGACGACGAGCAGAAAAACTGGAAGGACTTGGAGGGCGCGTTGGCTACCTTGTGGCGTGTCTTCCAACTGGAGTTTCGAGATCTGGGTGCCGGTCTGTGGTATCACGGGGCGTTTGACGAGATGAGAAAGTGGGGGTATATCAGTCCGTCGGAGCAGGAGGAGCAGTGGCTTAGTATCTACTCCTCTCGTGATGATGGGCCGCACACCATGTCGGCGCTGGGAATGGGGCTGAAGGAGGCGGGGAGGGTGCAGAGGCATTGGGAGAAGACCAAAAAGTGGCTGGTTCCTATGTACCCGGCTGAGTGGGAGGGGTGGGAGGTGCCGGTTGATGAGGTGAAGGAGGACGAGTGGGTGATGCTTTAGGGTTGGGGCCTTAGAAGGGGAGTGGTTACACTTACATGTAGTAGCGGTTTGTTTAAGCATGTTAGTCGGGACAGGAAGTAGTAGCGGAGTGAACAGCGATAGTAGTAATTCTTTTTTGACAAACATCACGGCAGAAGAGGGATGCATAAGTGAGTGGTTCATGTCATCATCATTATTTTTTGTACAAGATCAAGCGCCGCCAATGTATACAAAAAAAACTGTGTGTGGTATCGCTTTCAACAACTGTCCAAATCCCATCCATCCAGCCCCTTTGCTTTTGTTTGTTTACTGCTCGTTGACGAAAAGACCAGCCATGCCCATACCGGTACCGATGCACATGCTCGTCAAGAGAATCTTCTTGCCGGATTTCCTGCACTCGGCCAAACCAGTGACAATCTGTCTAGCGCCAGTGGCACCGAGGGGATGGCCAAGAGCAATAGCACCGCCGCGGGGGTTCATCTTGCTCCAGTCGAGGTTGAGCTTGTCACGGCAGTAGACAGCCATGGAAGCGAAAGCCTCGTTGATCTCGACGACATCGATATCGTTGAGGGTAAGACCGTACTTGCCGAGAAGCTTGGGGATGGCGACGGAGGGGCCGATACCCATGATGCGAGGAGCAAGACCAGCAACGGTGGCACCGACGTACTTGGCGAGGATGGGCTGGCCGAGCTTGACGGCGGTAGAGCGCTTCATGAGCAGGATGGCGGCGGCGCCATCGGTAACCTGGGAGGCGTTACCGCCGGTGGTGGTGGGACCCCACTGGGGGAAAGCGACGCGGATCTTGGCGAGAGACTCGGGGGTGGTGCCGGGGCGGATACCCTCGTCTTTGGTGACGGTGACCTCCTTCCACTCGCCGTTGATGTCCTTGACGCGGGTCTTGATGGGGACGATCTCGTCGTCGAAGAGGCCGGCCTTCTGGGCGCGCTCGGCACGCTGGAACGACTCGGCGGCGTACTTGTCCATCTCCTCACGGGTGATACCGAAGTCGCGCGACACGTTCTCGGAGGTCCAGCCCATGGGCTGCATGCAGTCGGCGGACTCCTGGGACTGGGAAGTGACGGCCTCGTCGAAGGGCTTCTCGAGGGCGTCGCCGCCGATGCTCATGGACTCGGCGCCCATGGCGATACCGACCTCGATGGAGCCGGCCGAGATGGAGTTGGCAATGTCCTCGACGGCCTTGAGGCCAGAGGAGCAGAAGCGGTTGAGCGAGTAGGCGCCGGAGGTGTTGGGGAAGCCGGCAGCGAGGGCAGCGGCGCGGAGCTTGTAGGAGGCCTTGCCATCGGAGACCTGGTGAAGAGAAGCCATTAGCATCTGAGCTTATTCTCTTCATCACATTCACTAAAAAGCAGCAGGACAGACAATGTTGCGTACATTACCCATGGCAATATCCTCGACGAGCGCGGGATCAATCTTGGAGCGCTCCCTGACCTCCTTGAGGGTGGCATAGGCGAGATACTCGAGCGTGGTGTCCTTGAAGCCACCCTTCTTGGCCTTGGCGAGGGGAGTGCGGATGGCGAGGGTGATGACAATGTCGTCGGGGTTCTTGGAGGTGATCTGGCTCAGAGCGTTACCTGGGGTCAGGTGCTTGAGGATGGAGCTGAGACGTTCGGCGGCCATTGTGTTTGTTTTGGTGGTGATGTTTGGGTTGATTGGTTGATAGGGCGACGAGAGGTTATCCGGCGAAGAGGTGGACAGGAATCGACAGCGATAGCGACAGCGACAGCGACAACGACAGAGACAGAGACGGAAAGATGTTCAGCGACAGTCGGCTGGATGTTGTCGTGGTTAAAAGGGAAGATCGGCCATCGGCTGGCGGGAGTGGTGGCGGCATCTTGTTGATTGACACGGCCCAAGAAACGCTTGGGATTGGAAGGGTGGGGTTGTGTTTGCCGAGGCACAAGTGTGAGAGGGTGGTGGCTCCGTCTCGATGTCGGTTCGGTGTTTGGACTTTGTTTCGTTGGTCAGAGGGAATGCCCAGGCTTTCTGGGGGGCGCTGTTACTGGCTGTTAGAGACATTGGGGTAACGAGATCCTGTAGTGGGTCTCTTCCGCTGGAGCATCAAATTGTCCGGGGCAAAGCGCTGCGGGGAAGCCAACGGAAAGTGGGCGAGACGGGGATTGCCCAGACTTTGTGGCATCAGTCCTTAACAGCTGACAAACACCACTGAACCGAGGACACCTCGGCCCACTAAAAAGTCAACGGCTGGCGGGCAAACGTGTAACCCCACCCCTCGGCAGTTCATCTCTTTTCTCTATTAACACCGTGCTCAATGTGCTGACATCCATATTAGCCGGACAATGGCGACACAAGACTTCAAAGGTAGGGAAGAAGATATATGATATCTTTCAGCAAGAAGCCATGTGGGATTTTTCGTATCCTTTCTGCCATGGCGACCTACCTGCATCCTCTGACAATGCGATAACCAAACTCTTGTCTGCCGCGGCTACAGGCACATGAACACCTATCATACAGGTTACAACAATATGAGTGCCCTGTGCCAGAGGCATCAAGTGGCTCACCTGTGGCTGGCGGGCAAGTCTGAGGCTGACCATCGTTCATCGGATACCATTGCCCCAAACAGTCCAGCCCATTTGTCACATTTCTTCCAAGGACTTTCCCCTCTGTGGATTGGCGCCAGTGCAGGGGAATTTCAAGGACATGGATGGTTTGCTACCTCTGTTATCGACAACGTGGACCCTGATGGACAATCTGATGATCCATTCATTTGTTCTGTTTTCTTCCTCTTTTCTTTTTGGCGTCATGAGGCCGTTCCGGTACCTGATGATGGCGTTCCCGTCACAACCCGACTTCATCAATGGCTGATGTGCTGCCATCTTGATCCCGACCTGAACTCACCACGGGCTGTTACCTACCTACCTACCTATGACAGGCTTACCTCTAGCAACACTTTCAGCTCACTGCCGCCAGCCCGCAGACGCCGTCGAATTTCCACATCGGAACAGCAATGTTTCCTTCGGCTCTGTCGACGTGCATGACTGGATGGTCGCAAAATGCCAAATACGAGGCTCGGCAACCATGATGAAGCAAGCTGAAACTGAGAATCTGCGATGGCTCTTTTTCCATTTGCCTTGCTGACCTCCTCCTGCTGATGACATTTATTTAGACTTTCTAGATCCCAGCTTCCACTTTCAAAGTTTCGGCAGCCGACCGAACGGGACAGGATTTTCTCGCGACACTCTTAGCTGCAGCAAGAACAAGGAGTCTCGATACGACCTTCGTAACGGTGCAAGAGGAAGTACCTATCCATCAGCTCTTTGGCGTCGCATTTGTCGAGTCGTTGTCAGCATCGCTACACTGCATGTTTGCCGCGAATTGCGAACGAATTCCCAGCCCCCGAGTCTCATCCGATATCGATCATTCTAGGTATATTTCAATCCGACTCCGACAACCCTTCAATTCGATCCCATCATCGCTACAACCACGCGCTCGACATGTTCACCCGAGCCATCGCGGCCGTTGCCGCCCTCTTGGTCACATCCGCTTCGGCTGCCAACTCCAAACGCGGCCTCGTCTTCACTCCCAACTCTACATTTCCGCATGACGCCTACATTTGGACCGCCCCTCCAACATCGCTGACATGGTACTATAACTATAAAGCGCTCCCTTCGCAAATATACTCGAATGTGTCCCAGGCAGACTTCGAGTTTGTTCCCATGCTCTGGGGCGCCCCCTCCGACATCAACGACAAGTCCTTCTACAACACCATCAAGTCCTTGATCGACGAGGGCGGTGTCAACATCACAAACATCCTAACCTTCAACGAGCCTGACGGACCGGGAGAATATGGAGGGAGCGAGATTAACCCCGACGTGGCCGCCCAGGTGTGGGTGAACAACATTGTGCCGTTGCAGGAGGACTACAAGGCGTTGAGAATTGGGTTGCCGGCTTGCACAGGTGCTCCCGCGGGGATGGAGTGGTCCAAGAAGTTTTTGGAGGCTTGTTCTGATCTCATCAGCGGGGATGGGAAGACCAAGAAGAACTGTACCTTTGACTTTGTCCCCATTCATTGGTATGGCAATTTCGAGGGGTTGGCCAGTCATATGGGGGAGTACTCTGCCGCGTAGGTTATTTCTTGTGTTCCTTCCTTTCTTCCTTTCATACTCACGATCACAAGCTAACCTCTTGACCGCATAGTTTCCCAAACAAGTCCATGTGGGTCACCGAGTACAACCTCGCCGATGCCAACCTGCAAGAGACCCAAGCCTTCTACAAGACGTCGGCCGAATACTTTGACCGACTGGACTTTGTTGAAAGATACTCCCTGTTCGGTGCCTTCCGCTCCGATGTGTCCAATGTTGGCCCTAATGCTGCCATGTTGAACAAGGACGGCGAACTGACTGATATCGGGGCTTGGTATCTTGGGAGACAGGCGACTGGAGTTGACCCGAACAGTGGTAAGGGCGGTAAGGATTCGGGTGCGTTGAGGATGTCGACTCCAGGCCTTTTGACTCTGCTATTCGCCTCCGTACTTGGATTGGTGAATTTTGCTTAACGGCCGATCTAAGAGCGCAAAATAGAGCGTTGGTTCCTCCTTAGAGGTATGTCTCCTTGGGTTTTGTCGTTTGGTCCTATTCTTGGAAGCCCTTAGATAGAGCTGCTTATTTTGTTTTGACGAGCAGCGTAGAAGCCGCATGGGCGATGAATAATGTCTTTACCTTTGCACTGTTCGGCGTTCTATTTAGCCAGGCTCTTACACAATGTGGTAGGAATATCTCACTACATCTCACTGGATTACCAATCACTTGGCCATCCCCAGCCTAAAACACCGAACATACACATAACCGAGGAAGCTCACTCATCACCAAGGCAGTCATTCTCGGAAAGGGTCACGCTCCGAAGAGGGGTTCTCACCTCAGTAACACTCCGAGACTCGTCCATCTTGGCGAGCATCCAGACCCTACCAGCACTGTATACTGCAACCTCTCTCGCATTGTTTACATACAGATCACCATAGCACAGCATTCGGCGGTCAGGGCGGTCAATGCGATCGGCACGTCGTTTTCTCAACCCTTTTTCTTTTAGCTTCCAGTAGACTCCCTCACACTTTGCTAGTGCCTGCATATCCTTGGACCTAAGGCGATATCTTCAGGGGCCAAGAGGGGCTCAACAATCCCCACTTCATCCTTACGAGCCCCATTGCAATCCCTGTCTTATATTGACGGCGAACTACAACCATCCAATCGGTGGCATCATGAAAGAAACCGTTGTGCCCATAACGACCCGCTGGATAGTTCCGCGGTAGCGGAACCTACCTTATGCGGATTGCGGCCGCCCCATATTGCTCCGTAAGACTGGACCGGCCGCCGTGCAGTACTCCATCAGCTTCTCACCCCTTGAGATATGCCAATTTGCGAAAAAAAAAAAGAAGTGCCACCTCTTTTTCCCACGTCACCAATCACCATGTCACCAATCACCATGTCACCACTCACCGATTCCCGACTGCTCACCGTTGACAGACCCTTGTGCCGGTAGTACAACGGTTTGACAACAACCCAGGACCATGAAGTTTCCCCGCTCAAAGGTGGCAACCGCAGACCGGGCCAGGCACCGAGATGGGAAAACGTGTCGTGGTCTCAGGAAGTCTCCGGTGGAACTGCCTGAACCGGGAGAGTATATAAGGATGTAAAAGGGATCTCGAGTTTCTGACATTTGGATTTTTGTACCATCTTCCCTCTCATCCTTCCCTCATCCATCCTCACCACAGCCTCACAACACACACCATTATATCCAAGATGGCTGCTACTACTGACTACAAGCTTGACTTCACGGTATGTCCCCTTCCCCTTCTCTTTCACAGCTGTGATTATGTGCCTCTGGCGGTCCCTTCTATGGGATATCCTTACCACACTCGATCACCACTGTCACATCTCCTCAGTTAAACCACCTGCTAACACATCTATCTCTAGACGTTCTACAACGTCATCAACAATGAGTTGAAGTCTACCCCCACCACCCGCACCGCCACCAACCCCTCCACTCTGGCTCCCCTTCCTGCCGTCCCCGTCTCCACCCAGGCCGACGTCGACGCTGCAGTCTCGGCCGCCAAGGCCGCTTTCCCTGCATGGAGCGCCACCCCAATTGAAGAGCGCGCTGCCCTCATCAACAAGTTCATCGACGCCATCCAGGAGAACTTCAGTGAGTTCACCGGTCTGCTTGCGGCCGAGGGCAAGCCCCCCACAGCTGCCGGGTTCGAGGTCCAGTTCACCATCATGCACTTGAAGGCGTCCGTGTCGCTAAGGTTGGAGGAGGAGGTTGTCGAGGAGACCGACGAGAAGATCGCCAAGGTGCGGTATACCCCCCTTGGCGTCGGTGTCGGTATCATCCCCTGGAACTTCCCCATGCTCTTGGGTGCCGGCAAGCTTGGACCCGCCCTGTTGGCCGGAAACACCTTCATCTGGAAGCCCTCGCCATACACTCCCAACACCGCCCTCAAGCTCGCTGAGCTCGGCACCAAGATCTTCCCCCCTGGTGTCTTCCAGGCTCTTTCCGGCGAGGAGGACCTCGGCCCCATGTTCACTGCCCACCCCGACGTCCGCAAGATCTCCTTCACCGGTTCCACCGCCACGGGCAAGAAGGTCATGGCTGCTTGCGCCTCTACGCTCAAGCGCGTGACGCTCGAGTTGGGCGGCAACGACGCCGCTATCGTCTGCGATGATGTCGACCTCGATAAGGTCGTACCCAAGGTTGCTCTTACCGCTTTCAACAACGGCGGTCAGGTCTGCGTCGACATCAAGAGGCTGTTTGTGCACGAGAAGATCTACGACGCCTTCCTGGCCAAGCTGGTCGAGACCGTCAAGACCTTCAAGTGGGGCGGCTCTGAGGACACCGAGGGCGCTTTCTTCCCTCCTGTCCAGAACCAGATGCAGTTCGAGAAGGTCAAGGACATGTTTGCGCAGATCGAGAAGCAAGGGTGGAAGACGGCCACCGGCGGTGCGGTCGAGGCCGAGGCCGGCGACAAGAAGGGATATTACTTCCAGCCTACCATCATCGACAACCCCTCTGATGAGTCGAGAATCGTGCAGGAGGAGCCCTTCGGTCCTATCTTGCCCGTCCAGAAGTGGAGCAGTGAGGAGGAGGTGCTCAAGAGGGCCAACAACACCGATATGGGCCTTGGTGCCTCCGTCTGGAGCAGTGATTTGGACAAGGCCGAGAGGATCGCGAGGAAGTTGGAGGCTGGCAGCGTCTGGATCAACAACCATCAGGATCTGTCGCCTTTTGTGCCATTCGGTGGCTACAAGAGCTCCGGCATTGGCCACGATTGGGGTATCATTGGCCTTAAGGGCTGGTGCAACGTCCAGAGCTTGACGATCCCCAAGAAGGCTTAAGGGGTTGGCGACATGGATCGGATGAGGACATGAGGGATGGAGGATATATCTTAATTACAGTAAGAAGTCAATTTAAAGCATAGCGTCTCGTTTTGAACAATTCTGCATCTTCACTTCATCGTCATGGGATCTGGATGTGACATGACTGCTAAACTGTGGGCTTGGACACAGTACAGGTATCCTATTATTAGTGTTTGCAAATTATGACGTCTAGTTCCAAGGTATGTTTTTCAGCTAAGGTACTTACGGCTTGGAAAGTGGCAGGGAAAACCAGTTGTTTGCAAAGACGATAAAGCAAGTGAAGTTTCACGTTAACGAAACCAAGTAAAGCCCTACAAAGGAGGGCAAAACACGGGAAGCTTTCAGTCATTGTTTACCCTTGCTCGTGCGGGTCTCATGTCCTCGTGTTTGTCTGGTTGGTTCATTCTTTTCCTGCCAGACTCTCTACAGCACGATGGAGAGATTCGTTACACTTTTGCCCCATGTCCAACTTCATATTGAACTTGTCTCCATCCAGTGCTGCAGATTCTAGGATTCGATATTGTTTGCAGGTCAACATTTGCCCACAGCTATCCGCCAGGCTATGGTATCGCTGTCATGATGTCGACCGTTCTTAACCTTGGTAGAGCCATCCTACAATCCTACCACATGGCCATTCTGTTCATTTCTGCACTATCACCTGTTCTTGTTTACGCTCAGTATCCCGATTCTCCTGCACCTGGAAACTTCATCCGCAGGGCTCATAGCAGAGGTGAGATGTTTGACACTTCAACATATCCATATCACATGTTCTACGACGCTGACTTTCCTGACTTGTAGCCATGGTACTAGGAAACTTCGTATACATCGATGGCGGCGAAGTCTCTCAGTTCGTCAATGGGGGGTTTATGCCCGACAACCAACCGTCACACGGGATGAACTCAACACTTTCCATCGACATTTCCAAATCATGGACCGCATTCACCGTCGAGATCAAGACCATACCACGCAATGGGCCCATCATGCTGAACTCCGAGGCCATATGGCTTGATACCGCTACCGGGAATAACAGCTACTACATTTACGGGGGAGAAACGAGTTACAACCAGAACAGCACAGGCTTCCAGGAGAAGGAAAAGATTTGGACATTTATCGCCGACGGCGAAGGCGGGGGGACCTGGTCCGCGGCGGAAACAGCCACCAGTACGGGTAATCCAGGTAGTCCAGATACATTCCCGTCGCGCCGGTACACGACAAACTCAGCCTACGCCTCGACACCCAACGGACTCGGCTTCTCAATAGGCGGTCACCAATCCCGGTTCACGGACCCTGACATAAAAATGAGCAGCAACCTGCGTTGGCAGACACCCGGCATGGTATCATACGATATGCGGACCAAAGCATGGCAGAACCACACATCACTACTCGGAACAATGCTTGCGGCAAACCAGTCCCTGGAAAATGGCAGGGCTATCCACGTTCCCGAGTTTGGCCCCAATGGTAATGGGGGTGATGGGCTCGTTTTTGTACTTGGTGGCGCGGCCAAAGCTGCTGGAGAGATGCTGCCAGGCGTCGCCTCTGGCCCGCTGATCAGCTTTGCGACTGTCAACTTTTTCGATCCTGTGAACAAAACATGGTACTCACAGGCGACAACCGGTGAGGCGCCGAAGGGGCGTATAAGTCACTGTGTGGTTGGCGCACAGAGTCCGGAGGGGTCGTTTGAGATGTATGTTGGCTGATCCAAAATTTTCTTTTGCTGGTCGTTTCATGAGCTTGTCATCTATCTCGCTATATCATTGTGGTTAGCTGCTAACGGGTGCTCCCAACATTGTAGCTTCGTGTACGGAGGCACTTCCGTGTCTTACGACACCTCCTTTGACGACCTCTACGTTTTGAGCCTCCCGGGGTTTCACTGGTTCCGAGCCGAAGACAACCGATCGGATACACAACGCGCTAGTGCCGCCTGTGTTGTCGTTGGGAAACGCCAAATGCTTACCATAGGGGGTGTTAACTACGGGAAAGGGGACATCAAATACTGGAAAGACCAGGATCCCTTGCCTCAGGGCCTTGGAATCTTTGATATGACTGTCATGAGCTGGGTGAGGAATGGAAGTTATAATGCAGATGCGGAAACGTATCAGGCACCACAAGTGGTGCAGGACTGGTACAGATCTCAGTGAGTTCCACTTGATATCCTTTACCCAGAGGTATCTGTGTGTATGGAAAACATCAACTAACAGCCGCTGTGCATTGTAGGAATCTCTCAACAATTGAATGGTCTTCAGCCGAAGTGAAAGAAATGTTCTCTACATCGAACGTCACTTTCGCAACTGATAAGCCAAAACCAAAGACCAATAACAAAACAGGCATCATTGCTGGTTGTGTGACGGGTGGATGTGTTGTTGTTTTGGCCATCTGCGCGATTGTGTTTCTCTTCAGGAGGCGGAGATCAAAAGCAAATAAGTTGGCATCTTCATCCCGGAGTCAGGGAAACGAGTGGTCTGCCCATGCGGAAAAGCCAAAGGAGTGGCCCATACAGACACCGGCAGCGGAGGACTGCAAGTATCTACCGCCCGCTGAACTTGCGGGCGAAAACAATTGCTGGGAACTCCCCTCGCCTGGAACGGGACTGGGGCAATATAAGACTTCTGAGGAAACGAAGCCTAGGGCGGAGTTGAGTGCTTAGATCTGGAACTTGACGGTGCGCAAGAACTCAGGGGTTCAATAATAGGTGGTGATGAGAACAAGGGATGCCTAGATGTAGGTATCTGGGATACAACTTAATTGTAGATGATTGGATTTGTAGCAAAGCTTGCGGCATGATGCAACCCCAAAACAGCAGATGTCAGATACATGTGGCCCCCCTGAAACACAGCTTGACATCGCTGCTGCCTGTATTCAAGTTCCCTGTGTAGGTACCTAACACTAAGGAGATTCAACAACCATTGACGTCACTCTAGTTGCTTGGAGTCCCTTCATAGTTCGTCCATAAAGCAGGAACTGTACTGGTCAACGATTGATTGGTCTTCCCTTCAAATATGAATTACAAAGCATTGAGGATTCAAAACATGAAGCATGCGCATACATGCACATGTGATCCACCTTCCACGATGCCGGTAGCGTGGTTCCTTTCCAACTCACCATCTACCTCCTTCAGCAAGAACGCCAGTTGGTCCTAAACACAACATGGACATTTCCATCAAACGAGTCGACCTATTGTACAATTTTGAATTACATCAGCCAGCTGTCTTATCCAGTTCTTTCCTCCTCGGGCTATTCCTAGCAATCCTGCCACCTGAGCACAATTCGCCAGGGATTGCTCACCGTCATGATGCCCTTCTTTGCGGACGTAATCGGCGCGATGCGGACCTCCGAGTTGACATTGAGAATGGCTGTCGACGCCCCGCACTTGGACCACGACTGCACGCCCACGCCCGCCAGCATGGAATAGTTATCGTCGTAGGGACTGGCCAGGTTCTTCTGGAAGACGACTTCCTGGCTGGAGTCGCCCGAGAAGGTGTAGCCGGCTCGGCAGGTGCCGGTTTGTCCCTCGGCGAGGAAGGCGTAGCCGATGAAGCGGGTTTCGATGATGGACATCCTGCACGGGGCGCTGTCAGTGAAGGGAACTGCTTGGGAGGGAGGGAAGGAAGGAAGGAAGGAAGGAAGGGAAAGAGCATACTGGAAGCCCGAGGGAAATTGCAAGTTGATGCTCACGCGGCAGTTCTTGCGGGCATCAGTGGCCGAAGCACCTGGACCGACTGAGACGGCGTATTGGTCAAAGGAGACATCGAAGATGGTGCGAGTTGCGTCGATGTTGACCCAAGCATGGCCAGCAGGGCAGCCGGAGCCGATGGCGCTGACGCTGATGATCTTGACGTCGGATGGGGCCGCCGCAGGAGGGGCGAGGACTTGGCCAGCGGGTATGGCGGCAGCAACGCCAAAGAAAAGAGCCAGAATGGAACGCATAATGAACGGTTTGGTCGAAGTGGGTGAATAGCTGGTGTATGATGATGGAGTGGCTATGTTGGCTGTGATGAAGCAACAACCTCCAGGTGATTGATGTCCCTCTTTATACTTCATCTTGCCCACCCCAGTCATATCGGACAAGGCGTCAAAAGAAGTATAAGACTCAAGAACCTGGGCAAGTCAACCTCTTCCATGCAACTATCGTTAAACTTGGAGCACGACGGCTTTAGGGTTCCGGAGACGAATCAGGCAAACTATCGCGAGTTGGAAAGACACTTGAGGGGTAAAGGGGTTCTGGATCCTTCATGCTCCCCGGGTACATCACGTTACCGAAGTCCAGCAGGCATTCTATAGCTTTTAGAACAGGACAAGCTCTAGTCAACGAACTCCCCATTGCTAGTGTCCATATACATTTGCCTAGGCAAAACAATCGCCAGGGCGGATAAGTCGTGCAACTGTTCGGAGCTGAACTTGGCTTCAATCTGCACCATCTCGTCAATGCAAGCCGATATTGGCTTCACACTCAGAGTTGGCTATTCTTAGTGACAAAGTATCATAATATTGTCTTCGTCTTTGAGCTTGGCCACTTTGTAGTGCAGCTAATAGATGAAGCCATCACCAACTTCCATCCTATCACCTGATTGTCATGTGTGTGGGGAGATGGTTAGAGGTATTTGATGCTTCCAGGAGCCAGCCCGTCTGAACGGGGTAACCTGCTTTACAATCACCTGTCGTGCTCACTGTAGATTAGATTGCCGGCGACCTCCACGGATCTATCTTTGGTTTTGTCGACGGTTCGAGATGAATCTTCACGCCAAGAACCTTGTCGGGTCTTCATGTTGAGATGTTTGGGTACGGGGAATTAGAAGCCTTTGCTGATGATTGGTTACCGGCAAGCCACAATATCCTTCATAATCTGGAGGGGAGGGCAACTTATCCGGATCTCGGGGACCTGGACTTAGGAGGTCATGCCTACATCGCGAGATCCTAGGTACACAAAAATCGTTAGCTTCCCGCATATCTAACCGGACTGCTTGCGGTTTACCATAGACACTACAAGCTCAAAGCAGGAGACGGAATTTTCAGCTCACAGTTCTCGAAGCTCGCAAAATGGGGGAGAACCGCTTTATCAATACCCTATATTTCCGGATCTGGAGCTCGATGTGGGTGACGTCTCGCTTATAAGTCATCATCACTTTGGATAAAATGCTCGTATGACTTGGCGGCCCACCACTTTACAAATTCCTTCCATGTCATCTGGATGTGTTACCTCTCAGATGTAACTTCCATGCCGGGCTTGAATTTACCTAGTTGCTGACTTTGGCTCAGCTATCCATAGCGTCCATCAATGACCCCAAATCCCAGTTGGACTGGAGTGCAGAGGAGAAGTATGTTCGTACCGCTATTGAAGTGTGGGAGTTAGGGTTACCACAAATAAAGTAATACAAGTGGAAGCAAGTATTGTGAACTTCTTCAATCGTCCGGTGGGTGAGCAACATGTGAACCATGTCGACGGTCAACGCCACTTACTTCAGTTATACAGAGACGGTACCCGGTCTAGACCATCCCCCTCACCGAGGGTTTTACTTGAGTTCTGTATAATGGAGCTGTGACTGAGACACTGTCGTTCAAGCTTATCCGCAAAGGCACCTAGCCTCTCATGTTGTGCCGTACTCAGACACTGCTTGTAACCGCACACTGAATACCGCATCGCCCCGTTGTTGAATGAACCATCTGAGAGCTGAAGTGTTGGAGGCACGTGCACGGGT